TGAGGTCCTGGACCCATTTTGGATCTTTCAGTGGGTTTGATGATCCTGGATTTGTCGTGGTCCTGCACCTGTTGGGAATACTTCAGCCACCCCAGAGATCCTCACCCCCACCCCATGTTGGGCCCTCCATGACCCTGGTGGACAGTGAATGGATTCGGGATGCTTSGAGGCTCTGGGACCCCTAAGAGGTCCTGGAGATCCTGAGAGGCTGTGGAATTTCTAGCAAGTCCAGGACATTTGAGTCCAGTACACTGGATAGGTGCAGGACTGGCAAAGGGTCTTGGACCCTTGCAGCTGTCAGGAATCTTGCAGCTACTGGAGGGTCCTGCAGCCATGTGGAAGGGGGTCCTTGCAGCCATCAGGGGATCCCTAACTTCTCCAAGGATCAAAGGAYCCACAGCCTCCACAGGGTGGGAGTCCTTAGGGGGAAGATTCCTTGCAACTATGACAGTCCCATAGCCATGGGGAGGGAGTCTCGAATCTTTGAGGGGTTCACAACTGTCAGGGGTGGGGTGGGGTGAGGAGGGAGTCCCACAGACTCGCAGCATCCCAGAACTGTCTGTGGGCCCCTATGCCGTCAAATTGTGTTGAGTCGTTGGCCGTCCTGCAGATTCAGAGGGTCTTACAGCTTTTGGYGATCGCAGAGACGTTGAAGGTCTGGAGCGCACAGGGAGTTCAAGAGCAGTCCATGGATCCCGCAGCCATCGAGGGGCCCGCGAGCCGTCAGGAGGGGTCTCAGAGTCGTCGCAGTTTCCGCAGCCGCCGACCACCCGACGCCTTTCCCGGCAGYGCCGCTCGTTCCCTTCGCACCCGCTGGGTGCCCCCGCTCCCAGCGCCCTCCCCGAGCTTCCCCCCGCGCCCGCTCGGGTCCTGGGGCTGCCGGCCGTCCATGGGGCTGCCCCGCTCCCGGGATCAGATCTGGCTTTCCGCACACTGCTAGCGGAGTCAGCGCTTGCGACTCATTTAATTTATRGAATAATAAGGCGACGGGAATCCCTGGGTTGTGACTTGCTGACAGATATGTATATAGAACTAGCCGCAGGTCAAGTGCTCATCAAGCAGGTAAAGGTGACAGTAAACTCCATCCTGACAGACCTTGCTGGCACATGGAAAGGCATTTATTTATTTATTTATTTATTTATTTATTTATTTATTTATCTATCTATTTATTTATTTATTTATTTATAATGCTTAGACTCAGCAGATGTCTGTGAAAAATGCTGGAATATGAAAACGGCAGGTGAGATGAAGCGGACTCGGCATCACAGACAGAAATAGCACTCGGGATTTGTTATAAAAGCTCTGGTGAGAAGCTGGAAGGAAAAGAATATGCCCATGCCCAAGGCAGCAAGAGCTGGAAATGAGTCAGGCMACTGATCCAAAAGTCTGGAAAAGATGAGGAACATTATTGGGATCCGCAGTTCCCTGAGGAGTAGTTAGAATAGTTAGAGGACTGTGAGCTACAGGAAATATTCCCTCTATCCCTATAGCTATAGGGATTAATGATAGAAGAGCTATATTGTGTTTTTGATGAGGGGGAGCCCCATGGCCATCAGTGACACTACCACATCAGGGATACAGCGTAAGCCATGAATTGCTCCCAATGTAGAGCCACGGGTGCAAGGACTCACTGGGTTTTGGACAGAGGGAGAAAGCAAAGATGAAGGTTCCATCTTCGGCGTCGGCAAAAGCCACCTGCCCACTGTTGCAATCCAGGGCCACCTGAATAATCCGGGGGGACTGATGGAGATTCAGGGGGGTCCAGTCAGGGTGGGTGAAAGCATGGTACTGCCCAAACCACTGCCCCACGGCCCAAATGCCCTCTTCAGGAGAAAGCTGGAGGACACCCTTCCTCCGTATGGATCCTTCAGCCACCCCAGTGGCCCACCAGTCCCCACCGTCAGCCACTGCCACCTCCCAGTGGTGCTGTCCCACGGTGAAGCTTGGGCAGCCCAGCACACAAGGCTCAGTGCTGAACCTCTCTGGGCTGTCGGGGAGCAAGGCCCATGTGTCTCCTCGCTTCACGCCTCGATGATCTGCTGCTAGGACCAGGAAAGGGTTGGCAGTGTTTGGGTCCAGGGTGACATGCACTGGAAACAGAGGAGGAGAAGACCCTTAGGAAGCGTAGTCCTGAAGAAGGTAGCACGCATGGTGGCCCATGTCTGCACCTCATTGTCCCAAGTGTCTCCAATGTGGTGAAAAATCCCTGGCACTGGATTGCCCCAGTCTCAGTGATGTCTTGATGCTTCCAAGTGGGCACAAACTAGCTCACAGAGAAGTCAGCCTCCAAATGTTCTGTGACAGAGCACTGGAACAGACTTCCCAGGGAGGTTGTGGAGTCTCCTTCTTTGGAGATCTTTAAAACCCGCTTGGATGCAGCCCTGTGCCATGTGCTCTAGGTGACCCTGCGTGAGCAGGGGGGTTGGACTAGATGACCTCTGAGGTCCCTTCCAACCTTAAGCATTCTATGATTCTATGATTCTGTTTCTCTATCTGGACATCTTTGATGCAGGGTTGACAAGAGTGTCCACTTGACTACCACATCTCAACCTCATGGCAAGCCCAGGCTAGGACAAGCTTGACTGTGTTGACCCACTAGGTGTTTCTTCCACATCATAGACAGAACGCAACTTTCACTCAAGCAGAGGATAAGATCCCTGTTCTTCCCTTCTTTGACTCACCTTTTTCACTCCTGTCTTCCACTTCAATAGTGTGGGCCATCTCCAGTTCAGGGACCTGCATGTCTCAGGCGYCAAATGCTGGGAGAAGTGGAGAGAGTGATGAAAGAGTCATGACATTCGGGTGCTTTTTAGATGGCCAGCACTCCCCTGTGGGGACTCCAGGAGAGGAGGTTACTGGATGGATCCTTCAGCCTTTGGCTTGGTGACAGCTCCCCACACTCAGACGTGATCAAGGGATCTCATTTAATCCTTGCATTGCATTTAGTCTGCCTTGGGGTTAGTCTCCCAGAGTTCCTGCGAGGCACCGTGGAGCTGTTTATGAAGATGCAGTTCCTATGCTCTGGGGTTTCCACGCCTCCCTCTGGTCAGCTGCAGGTTGATGATAGGCCTGCTGAGCCACCAAGAGCAGCTTTATCTCCCTGCAGCAGGGACTACAGAGCCCAGCCAGGGTTGATTAATCTGGGAGCCACCTCAGGTCAGGCAGGATGTTGCTCAGGAACACCAGCTGCAGATCATTAGGCGCCGGGAAGAAGTTCCCCTGGTCTTAGCCAAGCTTAGGGTTGACATAGACAGCACCATAGTTGCATTCGTCTTGAAGTGGTGGTGAAATGAAAGAGGTCTGGGCTATTACAGCTACTACCTGCTCAGATTTCTTACACTGTTGATCMATTTTGGAGATGCTGGTGGAGATGCTTGCAGGGAGTGAGTTGTCCAGATTGSTCAACCTGCAGGCAAAGTTGGCTTGTACTGAGCTCTGCATCCGATCTCACCATTCTCCAAGCAGTTGTTCTTGGATCTAGTGGCTTTGTTTCGCCTTAGCCCTCGGCAAGGTGGCGATGACCCTGCTCTGTGAAATCACTCCAAAATTCACATTTGTTTCCTTCTCGTGTGCTGCTGTGACACCTGGTGATGGGAAAGGGACTCAGGAAGACAGAACTGAGGACAGGCTGGCTCTGTGGAATTTATTCAGGGATAACTGGAGTCTACATGGTAGCATGGACAGGGCACTGCATTAGTAGCTGTAGGCACCTGGTACAAGCAAGCAAGGTCTCTGCATTCCTGCATGTGTAGTTAGCAGAGCATTCTGAAGTTGTGGTGAAGCAGAAATCTCCTGGATGGATAGGAAAAGGGTACAGGATCCCATCCTGATTGCCAAGAGATGAATGCTTGGTGGGGACAAGCTAGCAAAAGGCAGAGACATCATATCCAAGCAGCTTTTACTGGCCATACCATCCCCAACAGCCAGAATTTATCAGCAGAGGGAAAAKGCTTTCAGGGAAGCCGTTGCTGTGTTTCGTTCCCCGGGCAAAAGCAGGAAGCTGAGTGACGTCAATGCCAGGTCTGCAGAATTTGTTTGAAGAGAACATTTCCRGAGTAAAASTCRTGACAAAGCTGGGGTGTTGCTGAGYTCCTTTCGCTTTCAATGGGGAAGTGCCAGCGGAGGAGAGCTGTGATCCTGGGAGACAACAATAAGGTTTATATTTGATCTCTGGAGAGGGGAAACACTTGACTGGAGTTGGGGAGTAGCAACTAAGCCTGTTAGCTGCTTGTATGATGGCTTGTGAGGAGCTCCACCACTTGCCTAGAARGCATCTTGGGGTGTGGGAGGTTCCTGAGTTAGCGGTGCCTCTTTCTCTGAAAACTCCTGATTGCAATTGCTTCCTCTAGTCTTTGCTGAAGTGGTCCTGCAGTTCTGTAATCAATCTGGCTCAGCAGGAATTTCCTGCAACATAATAGCCCTGTTGGTGGTGGGTTGTATTAGCATGTTGGTTATCCCAGTTCCGCATTCTCCTGTGGTCTGAGCAGCTAAATTATGCTGCTGTAACCCCTCTGCAGCCTGTTGTTTTCTCCCCGCACTTTCCTAGCTCTGAAGGCTGAATAAGCCAAATAAGGTATGCCCATTAAAGTGACCACTGCTTTCTTGGTTGCATTTTAGTGGGACTTGAGGAGATGTTGGAGCTCATCTTTTGCTTCCCTGTGGGAAATTGCTACAACTTTTCATACCCCTCGGGCTCCTTTGCATGGAAAGTAATGCATGCAAAGCAAAGTCAGGAAAACTGATTGCARCTTTAACTAGCAAATGGCCATTTATTGGCCTTAATTAAAAAAAAAAAAAAAAAGAAAAAAAAAGGGGAAAAAAAGCTAAAATCAGCATTTATCCCCTTTTAGCACAAATTGTGTCCCTCTCTTATTTATTTATTTATTTATTTATTTATTTATTTATTTATTTATTTATTTATTAAAAGGAACACTATTTTCTCCCTCTTGTCTCCTTTTCTCTCTCCTTTCCTAGCTCCTGCTTGGGGGCCAGCAAGGAGGATGGTCGTTTTGCTCTGTGCCAGCTGCTCTCTGCCTGGTTTTATTTGCATTTTTGCCCTCCACCTTCAACAACTGCAGTCAGGTAAGGATTCCCATGGTCTCAGCAGTCTCCAGCAAATTGCTTCCAGACAGAATTTCTTCCTTAAAGCTGCTCCCAATGGTCCATTTAAGTGCAGAGTAGTGACATAAAAAATAGCAGATCCTTATTTTTGTTCTTCCAGCCGTACCACTGTGGCATTTGCACAGCCTCARTGGGCTCGTGGGCGAATAAGATGGGGGACATGAGTTAAATGCTTGCTGACATTTCCATCTTGTATTCCCAGTAAATAGAGAAGGTGGAGCACCCACTCCCTTTTCTGGGCAGAAAACCTTCATATTGGCTCAACTATAATTCCATATTGCCATCCCTCAACTCAGTATTGCGTCTGGTGTGCTTGGAGCACCAGAGCAGTGGCAGGGTCAGCTCTGGGCACGATCCTCCTGTTGTTTTGTGTTGTTTTCCTCAGCTCCTTTCAGGGTAACAGTACCAGTGAAATCYGTGGCAGCCGCCGTGGGGCAGGATGTGGTTCTGCCCTGCCGCCTKGCACCAGAGCAGAGCGCTCGGACAATGGAGGTGACATGGTTTCGGGAACACTTCTTACCTTTCGTGCACCGCTACAAGGCGGGAATGGACCAGCATGTTGAGCAAATGTCGCAGTACCAAGGACGGACTGAGCTACTGCAGGATGGCCTTGACAWTGGCAGAGTGGACTTGAAGATCTTCAGCATCCAACTGTCCGACGAAGGGAATTACACCTGCTTTGTTCATGCCAATTTAGGCTATGAGGAGGCTGTCCTGGAGCTGAAGGTGACAGGTCTGTAGTTGGCATCCCTGTTTCTGCTGCCAGATGAGTCTTAATATTTCCATTTTGCTTGCCCTTAGATGAAGCTGCTCCTATCTGTCACTCATCCCTGTGGCAATTTTAGGGAGTCATTTTGGAGCAGAACTTTACCAAATCCCTTCTTTTTCCTCCTTAAAAATAATAACCAAGATCTCTTGGCGTGCAAAATATATCCATTGAGCAGTGGTGAGGAGCTCAGGAGATTTCCTACCTACTAGTGCTATTTTTACATTCTTAATGGGTGCAAGAAAAAAATGCAGTGAGGAAATGAAACAAGAAGGTCTCAGTGCATCTGAGGATGTTTGAGTGGTCAGACATGAAGTTTTTTTTACCAGAGTCTCCAGAGCAGATTGCTTTGGATCATGCAAAACAGGTGGCAAGAAACACTGTTCTGATTGCAACTAACAGTTCAGATGTCCATGTGACCCTGAAAAATAGGGATATCTCCAATATTGGGGTTTATTCTCCCTTCTCAGCCAAAGGAAAGGTTTGATTTCCACAAGAAATAAGACGGGATGCTCTTCTTTCCTCCAGCTGCCGGCTCAGCACCGCTCATCTTGCTAGAGAGCTATGAGTCCAGTGGTGTCCGAGTGGCGTGCCGGGGGACCGGCTGGTACCCSCAACCTCAGGTGCAGTGGACAGATAACCAGGGTCAGCTGCTGCCCTCCACCTCCGAAAAGGTCACTCAGAATGCGAATGGCCTCTTCGAGGCCGAGAGCACTGTGGTCCTCAGCCAGGCTGCAAACCGGCAGCTCTCCTGTTCCATCCGGGACACTCTGCACCATCACGAGAAGYGCTCCACTTTTTCTATGGCAGGTAAGTGGTGGACAAATGCTGTTTCACTTTTATTTTATTTTTCRGGGCTTCTTTTTAATTTTAAAAATATTTTYTTAAAATTTTCCCCAAATTAAAAATTAAAATTAAATTAGAATTGCATGCTACACATCTGGCTGTACTTGTATGGGGCTTGGTGTCAAAATTCATGGGTTGCATCTTCAAGGGTGGGTTTAAGGGTAAGAAAAATGACATTCTGACATATTTTCAGTACCTATGTCAAAATTTATGAGTCCTACCAGGGTGGATTTAAGGGGAAAAAAGACTTCCTAATGTCTTCTCGCATATTAAATGCAAATATTTATAATGTTGCAACCAAGGACAAATCAGATAGGCACGCTTGCCGTCAGTCTTCGCAGCTGTGAAATTTTAAATTGATTTTTCCCATAACGCGCAGGGAATCTTTTGGTTTTTTTCTCCCCAATGGTGAACTGAAATAACATATCGGAATGTTGCATGGATTTCAGCTGCATCCAACTCTCATTTTATTGTAATGATGAACAACTTGGGGAAAGCTGGATTCCCTCGTAGGCCCATGATACTCTCTGAGTGACATTACTCTGTGCGGCCAATTTGCTGCTAAACCAAAGACTTTAACAAGAATGAGGACTCGTTGTTGTTGTTGTTGTTGTTGTTGTTTTAATTCCTGTGTTGCCCAGTAAGCACAATTTCATTAGGAATAATCCCATGGAAAATTCATCTTCCTGCAAAATATTGGCCTTAACTGTGTATGAAATTGCTATTTTTTTGCTTGTGTCCTGACCTCTTTGCATCATGCACTGCAATGAGATCTGTAGCTGCAGGTGGAATTCGCACCAGCTTGGGTTGGGCTTGTCCAAATCAAACATAATCACCTCCTACCTTTTTTTTTTTCTTTTTTTCCTTTTTTTTCTTTTTTTTTTCTTTTTTTTTCTTTTTTTTTTTTTTTTTCTTTTTTTTTTTTTTTTTTTTTTTTTTTTTTTTTTTTTTTTTTTTTTTTTTTTTCTTTTTTTTTTTTTTTTTTTTTTTTTTTTTTTTTTTTTTTTTTTTTTTTTTTTTTTTTTTTTTTTTTTTTCATTTTTCCAAAATTCCCATCCATGGAAGATTGCCTTAAGTTTGGTCACGGTCGCTGTGGTTGCACTCTCTATTGCCACCATTTTTCTATTTAAAATTAAAGGTAATGATGCACGGTGGCCTTTGGGCAGGTGACATGAGGGAAAATAAGGGAAATCCCTTATTTTTYACCCAAATGACACGAAGCCCATGGGTTGCGTAGTCACTGAAGCACTTCCATAGGCTATTTAAGACAAAACAAAATGATTTACATTTCTCTCTTTCTCATGTAGGAAAGCATGAGGAAAAAATAGGGAAGTTTTATTTTTGAAAAAGACCCTTTATAGATGGAGTTTTATAGATAGAAAAATTGGAGCATTCCCAGAAAAAAAAGAAGGGTCCACTGAACACAATTTCTTGTGATGACAAGAGGGAGACCAGTGGCTGTTTCCAAATATCACAGAATCATAGAATGCTTAAGGTTGGAAGGGACCTCCAGAGGTCATCTAGTCCACCCGCCTGCTCACGCAGGGTCACCTAGAGCACGTGGCACAGGGCCGCGTCCAAGCGGGTTTTAAAGATCTCCAAAGAAGGAGACTCCACAACCTCTCTGGGCAGCCTGTKCCAGGGCTCTGGCACCCTCACTGTTAGGAAATGTTTCCTTAAGTTCCTGTGGAACTTTTGGTGCCTCAGCTTGGGGCCGTTTCCTCTAGTCCTGTCGCTGGCCACCACTGAAAAGAGGCCGCCCCCTCCTCCTCACTGCCTCCCTTGAGGTATCTATGGACACTGATCAGGTCCCCCCTCGGCCTCCTCTTCTCCAGGCTGACCAGGCCCAGCTCCCTCAGCCTTTGCTCACAGGGCAGATGTTCCAGGCCTCTGATCATCCTGGTAGGCCTGCGCTGGACTCTCTCCAGCAGCTCCACGTCCCTCTTGTCCTGGGGAGCCCAGCACTGGACACAGGCTCCAGATGTGGCCTCACCAGGGCTGAGTATAGGGGAACAATCCACTCCCTTGAGCTGCTGGGGGTGCTCGTCTTAATGCACCCCAGGATCCCAYTGGCCTTCTTGGCCACCAGGGCACACTGAAATATGAAATTACTGTGCGATGTTAGAAAGAATCGTTGTGGGATGGGAAAAATGCAACCAGGACCCAGGATGGAGGGCAGCTTGGCTTTTCAAAGGCCCTTTGATTGGTGATTCCTGGGGGCCCTGGCGAAAATGAGAGTTTTTGGTGTTAATGCTCCCTTTCTATTTTGCTTTTCAGTGATGCAGGCAGCGATGCTGAGTAAGTCTTGCTCTCCCTCCCTCCTCCCTTCCCCCCTCCTCTCAGCATAATTCTTCAGGTAAACTCTCAGATATTTTCGTTGATCCTCCCTTTCAGACTAAATGCYCTTTCCATGCTATCATGTAAGTGCTTTACATCCCGACCTGTTCAAAATCCTACTAATGTGCTAATTTAGCCCGCAAATCATAATTATTCCCTGAGTGGCTGACAATGCCTTTCTTAGCCCTCTCAGTTTTATTTAAGTACTGAAACAGTACTGGAAAGCTAATGTTTTTGGGGAGTAGCTCATGGAAAACTAATGCTGTGCGAGTTTTGATTGCAGTCCCAAAGAGGAAAATATAATAAGAATATACTATAGTTAGGAGAGAGAATAGGCAAGCTGGATTGCATTGTCACTAAATGACTTTGGAGCTGCCTTGCAATAAGTGTGTGGATTTGGCTCCTTGAGCMAAAGCAACCCTTACCCTTACAGTCCTTTAACTGGGATCTCAGGGAAATACATGTGTCAAGTGGCAAACCATTGACTTGTGTGTATTTCTAATTATTTTTAGAGAGCCGTGATGCAGAGATTGGTGAGTCTTCTTTGTTGCAAAAGATTTTTTACTGCTTCTATATAGAGTTCTTTTTTTCTAAATGCTTTTAAAATACCAAATGAATCAAAAAGTGGTTTGGACTTAGAGAGGGGAAGAAGAAGAGCAAATGTGAGCAGCAAAAAAATAAAGATTGTCCAAAATGCTGCTTGTGCTGTGTGCCCCATAGRGACATATTGGGTTCTTCTTGTGCCACCAAGGGCTTTGCCTTGTCCCATGTAGCACATCTGTGTAGCAGAGGGCTCAGCTGCAAGTGGATCCCATCCTGATTCTTTCTTTTCTTATTGCTTTTCAGAGGAACAAGCTGCAGAATTGGGTAAGTGTAATTCTTGCTCCTACATAGAAAACTTTCCATCAGGGCAATAGTCCCACCTGAGTTTTGCCTTTAGGCCTTGATTTTGCTTTGATTTTCTTGCATAGAGCCTAAATTGCCGTTTGCTATAGCTAGACCGATGTGTGTGTGTCAGTTGATAAACGCATAGTTTTGCTGAAAAAAAAAGGAAAAAAAAAACAAGGAAGAAATTTGTTTTTAATAAATAGTACTTCAGTTTTTAGTACAGAGAACCTGAGGCAATAAAAAGAATGTAAAATCTATACATGCTTTCACACCTGATAAAGGTAAAAGACAATGAAAGATTTTCTGGGAAAAGCCAAGGTCAAATTCCTGAAGGGAGAGGTGAAATGTTGGAACCAGTTTGGAACCTGTGGTTTTGTTTGTGCTTTTAAGCTACTCCCTGTAATCCTACCACACTAGGAAAAAAATCTCTTCTTCTCAAAGGCAGTAGGTGCAGATACATTTAAATTACATTTTTTAAATTTATAAAAAAAATAGATGGAATTTTCCCATAGATATTCTGCTAGTGTTATCATTACCCCATGCTAGCCCCTACCATGAGCACATTTGACTAACCTCTCTGAGATTTTTCTTTTCTTTTTGTTTCTGTTTTTAAAGCATGGAGAAGATACACAGTGCCTATAGAAGAGGGTAATTGAAGTTTKGTCCTGTTGAGTGTTTTTGAATCTATTCCCCAACCACACTGGGAGGAGAAAACGGAGTGTGTCTCTTGCACTGTAGACAAGCTGTCTTCTCTCAGCTGCTGCAAGTAGTTTCTGGATCAGACAGAGCATAGAAAAGAGGTCTCCAGTCTTTGCACATCCAATGGGCCATTCCCTATTCCCTGAAATCACAGCCAAAGCAGCACGGAGCTGCTGGGGTGTACTTGATTGTGTTGTCTCCTCTTTCGGACAACAGCTCCACCTGAGACTATTCATCTTCCCTTTCTGCATGTTCTCCTCTTTTTTCTCTAGCCTTCTTCATCTCATCTATGCTATGTAGGCCCACCAGTACTGTTATTTCCTCCTTTCTCCAAGTTGAACTCTTGTGTTTGGGATGCTAAATTATCTTGCTTGYGCTAATCCCTTTGTGCTGGTTCTTTTCCCACAGTGATTTTGGTAGGAGCAGAGAGGTTTCTGCCAATKCCCACTTTGCTGGAGAAATCATTTTGGAAGGGTGGATGATCCATTTTCAAGGAACTCTATAGAGTCCTAGTCCTCAATGAGGAATGCTGACTGTGCTTTAGAGACATGGGGACTCTTTTTTCAGGCCAGAGGTCTGTTGATAATCTGCTTTATCTGCTCGGCATCATCTTTCTGGTTCATTGTCAGATCCTCGTACAAATATTGTGGCCTTGTGCAACTTCTTCATTTCGCAACCCATCTCCTAGGCCTGAGCTCTTGACGCCTTGACTCCTTCTCTCTCACAGTGAACGTGATTCTGGATCCRGACACAGCCCATTGTGACCTTGTCCTGTCTGATGACCGCAAAAGTGTGAAACGAGAAGACATGCCGCAGAACSTCCCTGACATCCCTGAGAGGTTTATGCCATGGCGCTGCGTGCTGGGCCGTGAAGGCTTCACTTCAGGGAGACATTACTGGGAGGTGGAGGTGGTGGATGGTGGAGGATGGACGGTGGGGGTTTCTAGAGAAGATGTGAGAAGGAAGGGTGATATTGAGTTTAAACCAGAGGAGGGCATCTGGGCAGTGGGGAAGTGGGCAGGTCACTTCCAAGCTCTGACCTCCCCTCAACACACTTTCTTTTCTGAAATCCAGAGTCCCAAGCGGATCCRGGTGTCCCTGGATTACGAAGAGGGACGGGTGGCATTTTTCAGTGTTGATGAGAAGACTCCAGTCTTCACATTTCCACTCRTGTCATTCAATGGGATAAAAATCTACCCGTGGGTCTGGTTAGGTCCTGGGACATGGCTCAAAATGTGCCCCTGACAAAGAAAACCTATTTTTKGAATGACATCTTAGTACCTCAAAGACTCATAGGAAGATTTAGTTTGGAGGGGGCTTGTGGCGGTCTCTGCTGCCACCTCCTGTTCGGACCAGGGCTAACTTCAAGGTGAGGCTGACTTTTCACARTCTTCAACGGTGGAGATTCCACTGCCTTTCTGGAACTCTGTCAGAGTTTGCACTTTCAGGGAAGAAAATTGCTCCCCAATGCTTGGTCAAAATTTCCTTGGTTATAACTGTTGCCTTTCACCCCRTGTTTTACTGCGTGAATGGGACTTCTGTTAAAAAACACAGAATGTCTTAAATAGGGAGAGTTTTTTTTAAATGCACTGAATAAAGTTATTTCAATGGGATATGTCTGTCTTTGAAATATTAATGCGTACACTTTAGGCAGAAGACAACTAAGGCACAGTGATARGATTTTGCAATGGATATACTTGTCCTGGTCCCTGGCTCCAACATGAACCTAGATATCTAGCTCACCCATGCACTGTAGACATCTAACACACTGGAGATAGTTCCATCCCAAAAATCAGCCGCCAAATGCCAAATCAGCTGCAGGCCTGAAGCCGCTCAGGAGGTTGTGAAGAAATTGGTCAATGAGGGCTTCAAAGCCCCCATGAACAATGYCATATCCTGGACTGATGGGCATGGGGATAGACAACATGAACCTGGCCCTGCTGTCCCTAAAAGAGGCTGGTGGAAAGGTAATRACGTGGTCCCCACTCTCTGTGATGGAGAAGAAGCACTGTGCTCCTCAAGCCAGGGGTGGCACAGCTACATCTTGAACATCATTACCTCTCACATAAGAAGCTCACCCTTCTTAATTCCTGGAGTCATGTCTACTGTTGGTGAGCTGCTGMGTGTCAGGATGGGACACCAGAAAGGACAGAGGCCAGCGGTGTATGGCCCCTTTGTAGGAGACTTCTCCCTGACAGCTGTGGGGAAGRAGAGAGAGTAATCTCTTTCCAGCAAGAGAGAGTTGGGGAAAATAGCTAGGAGCAGAGATAGAGATGAGATAGGGGGATTAAGATCCTCCAGTCTCCACTTTCCTTCTCATGGAGTGGAGAAAGGTTCAATACACACCCTGAATGCACCATGGGAGGACTGACCCCACCTGCTCTCAAGAAAGAGGGATCAAACCTCCTCAGCCACACAGGGCCATCTCTTGGCTGAGGTCAGCCCATGTTGTCTCTACTTGGTTTCCTCAGCACCTTCTACTCACTTCTCCCCATCATTTCCCATGCATCTCATAGGGCGTGAGCAGCCCCAAAAAACCTCCAGGGGAGCAAAATCAGAGGGAAAAAAAAAAAAAAAAAAAGAGAGAGAGAGAGGAGAGAGAGAGGGGTTTTCAGCAAAAGTACCATGAATCTGATCTCTGCAGGCAAAGACATGCTGGGCCACAGGTTGATCCATGCTCTTGGCAAGGTGACTCAAGGGCTGTCCTTTGGAAGAAGTCTCAGACTCCTCCTTCAAGGTGATGACACAAAGGAAGAGAAGCAACCAGGGCCCAAAGCCAGCAGGGCAAAGACAGCCCATTCCCCATACAGCTGATGGTCTACACCAGCTGTATGGGAGCTCATTGCCAGGGCAGGAGTTAGTGAGTTACTGAGCTGTTCCCTTGAAGGAGTGTGCTGGGAGAAATGGCATCACTGCTTATGAGGAAAGGTTTGGGGATATACTACAGTGCATTTAGAGAGGAAAGCAAGAAAAAAATAAAAGACACTCAAGGAAGTAGTTTTATCAGTTCCAGAAAGGAAAGGGAAGAGGCCATGGCAGCAAGATGGAAGCAGCAGCCTTCAATTGTTGATGGCTAAGAGCAACCTGATACCAGAGGAAAACAGGGAAAGCCTAGGGATGGGGCAGTTTAAATACTAAGGGAAAATGTGATATTGGAAAAGGCTTTGCATGTGACTGCCTAGAGGTTGACACTAGTTATTATCCCCTTATTAATAATGGCTAATTCATGGAGCAAGCACTGATACTGGCGTGACTGGGTGCCCTCTGGTAGATGGGAGTGAAATATCACTTGAGCAAACAGACTCGTTCTTCAGACTAGCTTTCAGTAGCTGGTAATTGACACCAAGCTGCTCCAAAAACATTCAAAGCTCTGCAAATAATGCATTTATTTACATATTCTTATATTTATTTATATAAACAAATAGCTAYGAAAATGCTTTATATGTATGTRTATTTATATATAAAAATGAGGAATATATTTTCTCTCTATAAATGAATTACAGAGAAATTAGTATCTTCATTTTTAAAACCGACCACCAGACTTCTGCGTCTGCCTGCCACTTGCCACAGCCTTAGCAAAAGTCCTSACATTTAACTCATCTGCCCAAACTGGAGTTTCTGGGTACTAGTAGTTCACTGGATGTTGACACCTTGTGACAGATGTAGCTCAASACTCAGGAAATGGTTTTAGCTGAAAAAATGTTGGGTGGGCAATCACATGCATCACARTATTTTCTTCCAAAGGATGGAGAATTCAATAAACTTCAGGAAATCTTGTTTAGAAGCAAACTGAGAAGCTGACTTCTATTAGGCAAAAGTAAACTAAAGGGTGACCTAAACTGAAGGTCAGACAGAATGCCTTACTTGRGGTTGAATGAAATATTTTAGGTTACTTTTCTCTCTTCTCCTCCAGTTACRTTTGACCTAAAAAAGATAATCCCGTGGGGTGATCATCCAAGGGCTACTCCCAGAGCTCCCCTCCTCGCATGCTGCAGCAATGACTTGCGGATCTGGCATGCAGAGGGTGCTTTGCTCTGGCAGGAAACCACAGTTTCTTTCCTAGTGGCTGCGCCTGCTGATATAGGGGGCCAGCTGCCCCCAGAGATGTGCTCTGTTCTCCAGTGAAGAAGCAGCAGACCAAAAGCACTGGGACAGTGCCTTCTGGCTGAGCCACCGCTGAAGGCAAGGAACCAAAGAGGTGTGTGCTGGGAGRGGGGTGATAGTTGGGGACACATCCTTCTCTTTGGGGTGGAAAGGATGGTGGAGGTGACAGGGTGGCAGTGGATGCGGTCACTACTGCTGGTGGACCGCAGTGGGYGGGACAATTGTGGAGCCTTGGTGCTTCAACTTTGGTGGTGCTTCCTCATTGCTTGTGCATCACCCCTTGGGGCTCCTGTGTGCAAACGAGTCTTGTCTCCCCATCTCAGGCCATGAAGCTCCCTGCCCTGGYCCATCTTGTCCTATTGGCCCTGCTGTCCTCAGCTGGAGCTCAGCCCTGCCCTTCAGAGATGAACAGTGTCAAGGACCTCCTTGAAGTCAACTGCACAGGGCAAGGTCTCAGCACAGTGCCCTCTGCCTTGCCCAAGGACACAGGCATCCTTCTGCTCAGCTCCAACCGCCTGGTGTCTGTCTCCACCACYGCCTTCCTGCCCTTCTCTGTGCTGSAGGACCTCGATTTGTCCAACAACGGGCTGGTGGCTCTGCACACTGAGTCCCTGCTGCCATCCCTGAAAGAGCTGATCCTGTCTCGCAATACCCTGGAGACCTTGCCCACCTTGAAGGCTCTGCCTGCCCTCACCCATCTGGCCCTGGCTCACAACCGTGTGGGTATGCTGGCTCCAGGGGCTTTCCATGCCACACCACAGCTGCAGTACCTGGACCTGCGAGGCAATTTGCTGAAGACTCTTCCCCCGGAGGCCTTTRCAGGGTTGGGGGCCCTCAAGGAGTTGGACCTCTCTGACAATGCCCTGAAGGAGCTGCCCCAGGAACTACTGCAGGATCTGAGGAACCTGGAGACCCTGTGGCTCTCAGGCAACCTCCTCCAGACTCTGCCCCCAAACTTCTTCCCTGAGGGTCACTTTTTTTCATATGTTTTTCTGACTGAGAATCCTTGGCACTGTGACTGCAACCTGCTCTATCTGCGGGCCTGGATCCGGCAGAATGACAACAGTGTCTACCAGTCTGAGCGCGGTCTGGAGAAGACAAAGGTTGAGGTGGCCCCAGAGAGTGTGCTGTGCCACAGCCCTGACAAACATCAGCACAAGCCAGTCATGTACTTCAAGCCTGACTGTGGCAGTGTAGGAGATGCCAATGAGGAAGAAGAGGATGAATATGGCTATGGGGAAGTAACTGATGAGAAAACTCCCAAGACACCCTCCTTCCGCCTGCGTTCAACCACCCTTGAAGATCAGTTGATCCCCACCTTTGCTATCACCCAGCCTCCCTTCATCACCACGAGGGCTCCCCTCACCAGCTCTGCTGGCTCCATCCTTACTCCAAGCACTTGGATTGCAACCCCCACAGCTTTGCCAACCACTCCAGTGGCTGAGACTACATTCGCCCTCACCAGCATTCAGCTTGCCAGTACTGCCACTTCCCCCAGGACCACCAGGAGCTCCACGACATTCCTCTCGACCCCTTCACTGGCCATCCTGACAAGCTCCAGACCTCCAGGAACCACCATCCTTGCTCCATCTGCTCTCACCACTGATGCTGCCAGCACTCGTATCCCTTYGTCCACTGGCATGTTCAGCACCACTTCCACTGTGGCACCTTCCACTGCCACGTCGAAGGCCTTTGCCACTTTCAGATCTTCATCTTCTCCACTAACTCCGCCAGTGATCTCCAGCACCACAGCAGTGCTTTCCACCCACCTGGGCACCACACGCCTCCAGCAKCCTGTCCCGCTCTGCCCCTGTTCCATGCCAGCACCAGCCGTACCCGTGCTGCGCCCACAGGCTCTTGTTGAGGGCCCACAGTGGGGCCAGTGGGTTCTGAGACATTGTTGTCTGCTGCACTGGCTGCTCTACCTGGCTGCCTTGGCTCTGCTGCTCCTTTCTACACTGGTTCTGGTGGGTTGGCTGCTGTGGCTCTGTGTGGTGGGGYGGCCCTCCTGGAACAAGTCTTCCCTCCAAGTGCAAAAGATGCAATACCCGCTGCTGGGGAGGAGGGAATCAGTAGAAGGTCCTGTGAYCCACCTCAGCAGCTTCACTAGTCCCCCGCAGCGGCCCACTTTCTGCACCATCAAGGAAGTGGAATTGTACCCTGATGTTGCGACATCCTACACTTACTGCACTATCAAAGACCTGGCACCGCAGCGCAATCCTCATGCAAGATCCTCCTTCTGCACCACAAAGGAGCTGTGGATCCACCAACATCCCCTGAATGCTACTTTCACCACTTTCTCGGGAAAGCTGTAAATTCCAGACCTTGGCTTGCTGAGGACTCCTTCTGCTTATAGTCTGGACAGGAGTCTGGACGTCATCAGTGCTGCTAGAATGAAACAGGTCGGTGACAGCTTGTGAATGTTTCTGCAGGCTCAGAGAAAGGGACAGGGGTGATGACACTGTCTGGCATTCTTTTTTTTTTTTTTTTGCAATGAGATGGGGTGCTTGCTCTCTATCAAGAAGCTGTCTCCTTCCCCTCCTTCCCCTAGCAATGCTCTCATGTTTCCTGTGGTTGTTTGACTGAAAGAACTAATTGAATATGGGAGGAAAGACTTCCTCCTACACTGGTCAGTGGTGGATGGGCTCCGACACTTACCTAGTTTCTGAATGAGCATGGGAATGCAGAGCTTGCTTTATGCACAATGTCCTAGAGCAAATAAAAATGCACTAACACACATAAAGATGCACTTAGAAAAAATAAAGATGCACGTTTTTGTTTGTTTTTCAATTTAGTGCCAGGCAGTTTTGTTTATTAATCACAGAATAAATATTCTCTTTGGGTGCATTTCCCATCACTGCTAGTCTTATTTGAGCAGACCTCTTTTAGTCCTCTCATGGTACAGTAAATGGCAAGACTGTTCACAGTGCAGCKATCTAGTGAAAACTCGAGTGGCAAAGCCAAAATACCATAGCTTCTGACYCACAGAAGAAGTAGAAATGCAGAATTATAGGTAGGAAGTCCTTTGCCTTTTGTCTCAAACATATGACCCTTTCCTATACATTGGATGACACGGGAAAACACCTGACTCCATGCCGTACCACTCATAAATTCAGAAATTACTATAGGTCAGAGCCTCTGACCCATCATAGGATTCCTGGACAGCAGACCGTCTGCTCCATTCCCTAACTGGTGCACACCAGGATTTGTGCGACTGTGTGTGGTCAGCTGGGGTGAGCACCTGTGATGGGTGTGCTCCTTCCCCAGTCTGACCAGCTTTCAACACAGAGCCAAGTTTGGAAGTCAGTCACTAGTGGTGTTACCTGTTTGTGGTGTCTGCCTCCCTAGATCTCTCCCTCCTCCACTTACTGAGCATTAACCATAGAGCTGCCTCCTGCTGAGGGATGTTCCAATGGACATTTAGGAGGGAGAAAACAACAGTACAATATCTGAGGACTAACTAAGCTGGCACGTATTCCACTGATATGCAAAAATGACTAGGAGTCAATCATTTTATCCCATAAATAGGGGGGCAGCCCCACAGTGTTGGGAACTCTCCTTGCGAGGCAGTGGTCTGCATGCCAGCACCTCCTCTTGAGCTGGGATGCCTCTCAAGGTTCCTCCTCAAGGCTGAGAGATCCCTAACCAGCTACTGATCCATAGTGAGTGAAYGTAGCATGTTAAACTTCCTAAGACTTGGAAAGTTTTAGGAAAYCATATCCAGGATTGATTATCAGAACGCATTAGATGTAAACTACTGACCAAGTCTGGGAAAAAGACTGGATTCAACGGCACCCAGGCTCCTTTGAGGAGGAGTTTGGAATTCAACGGGGTCCAATCGGAACCTCAATAGGAGAGAGTAAATAATAGAGATCTTGTCATAGAATGTCACTAAAACCAGTGTCCATATCAATAAAACATATTATTATATCTTTCCTAAGATTGAAGTGCTATGCATTCACCCTCCCACTTCTTCTGTGACAGCACCCCTTAGCACAGATGTGTGAACACAGAAGTGCTGCATTTTCAAGCAAGTGCTTGTTTGTGAGTTGGTGCTGTTCTAAGCCACACCATGTTGTTTCCCTTGTTTCCTGAGGCAAAAGCTTCAGGGACGCCAAAACTGACTCAAACACCTGATATCAACTCTAGAAATGCCTACAACAGTCCAAGAGGTCTCAGAAGAGTCTCAAAACAGCTGAAAGACAGCAAGATGACCTTGCAAAGATCCCAAAGCAGGCACAGGGTTGCTGAGATTTCTCACGTCCCAGTGATGAGCTGAAATTTCCCCAAAATTAATGGGGCTTTTTGAGGTTCCCAGAAGCATATTAAGGTCTCCCATAGTGTGGCAGGGAGTTATTTCTTACTGGGTCTCTGATTCCTTCTCCATGCCTCAAAGACTTACTTGGTGCCACACACTCCTTCTTCATAGTGTCTCAGTGTTTCACAGGTCTCCAGGGCCACTTTAAATGTTTCTTTGAATGTCTTGTTGTTGCTCCCTGGATGCTGTTTGGGTGTGCCTTAGTCCCTTCCTGCTGATCTCCACATGAGGCAGGGGTCGATCTCTTCTCCAAAATAATTACTGATTGGACAAGAGGAAATGGCCTCAAGTTGCGTCAGGGAAGGTTCAGGTTACGTATTAGGAAAAACACTTGTGGAGGGAAAACATTGGACAGGCAGTCCAGGTTCAGTTCACCCAGCTCTGAAATCCCCTCTTGATTCCCTGGTAGGCAGCCTAACTAGGAAGAGAGTTTGCTCTGCTGTACAAAGGCTCAGAAGGAGAAATGCTGCTGCTCTGGAGGACAGAAAACCCAAAGGGGCATTACAAGATGGGGCAGTTCTGAGGGGGAGGTCAGAGCTGACCATTGTGACTTGTTAAAGAGGAATCTGCAAAGAAGGAGTGTGGAGCTGGAGGACATCATTGGGAAGGTTGATGGCTCTGTTGTCCATGTTGGGGACTGTAGGGAACACCAAAGAACTGTGTGCTCAAAAGAACATCTGTCCAAAGGTTTGGCTCCTATCTGGGCTACCTGGCTCTGGCCTATTGTGCATTTGAGGTACAGGAACAATGCAGCCAGCACTCTTTCTGCAGGAATGAGGCTGCTGTCACATGGAATTGTCAAGGGAATGATGCACTTGCCACTTTTCCAACAGAAATTGTGTTGCTGCAGTGTTGACTGTGGAACGAATGACACAGCTGACACAATTCCAATGGCAATTAGTCCACAACCATATGGGATGGTGGAAGGAATGATGCAGTTAACACCTTTTCCCACAGGAATGTGTCTCTTGCCTCTTCAAGCGTTTGGGCTCAGCTCAGGTATCTGCTTCTTTTGCAAATGAAAGAGCGAATCATTTTCCCAGCTTGTCAGCTTGTGCCCAGGCCTCCCAGCGTGCGYGTGGGCCTTGGAGCATCCTGCTGCCTGTGTGCTGTACGGCACAGCATGGCCACGGACAACATGCAGCAGTCCCTGGCCACACAAGTGCCCGCCTGGTGCCTTGTGCCACCT